CTAGAAACTTACCACCGGTGGCACGGATCTTGATGTGGAGGGCAGTGATGCCGAGCTCCTTGCAGCGGGTAGCGACGTCCTGGGCAGCCAACATGGCGGCGTAGGGGGAGGACTCGTCGCGGTCGGCCTTGACCTTCATACCACCAGTGACACGGCAGATGGTCTCACGGCCGCTGGAATCACCCAGTTAGCCATCTTGCACCATCACGGGTATTGATATAATCTTCATGTTCGCCAACGAGGGAGGGGTACTCCGGGACTCGCAGGCAGAACGGTGGATGGTGAGACCTACGAAAGATCGGTGACGTGGACGAAGGTATCGTTGAAGGAGGCGAAGATACGGGCAACGCCGAAGACGAGCTCGCCTAAAGATCGCGGGGTAGTTAGCAAAATTGCTTCATCTTCTCTTTGTGCGGTCGGCGCATGCAAACTGAACGCGCGACGTCACAATCGAATGAAATTCGGGGAAAACTCACCCTCGCGGACCTGGGGACCCAAGGAGATGTTCTCCTGGGCGGGACGGACGGTCTTGGACTTGGGAGGCATCGTGACTGCTGTGTTTGGCGAATTGTCTTTCGGTGGTGGTTAGTCGGAGTGGTTGGCAAAGGGAAGCTATCTCAACCCGTCGCTCGCAATAATCCCAAACGAAATTTCACAAAGCCCAGCCCTGCACACACGAACAAAACAAGTGGGCGAGAATGCCCTGACGGGGGTCGGGCGGTTGGCGGCGGCAGAACCACCCGGACCGGCTTAGCGCTATGAGAAACCCTACCTAAGCGAGAAAAAATGAGGGCGGTGAGAATTTCAATTTGCTGGTGGTGGCCCATGCACCAACCCCAGCGGAGCCTGCGAAATTTTGGGTAAAACTTCTGCGATCCCGCGCCCTTTTCCCTTTTCCCTTTTCCTTCTGATCCAGCGACCAATTTTCGACGACAACCGCCGACGACAACCAAACCCGCCTTCACAATGGCCGCCACTACGTATGTACACCAATGCTATTGAGTAGCAGCGGCAGCATTTCCCCCTTCGTTCCGTTTGCGATGTCTTGCAGATTGTCGTGGTCCTCTCGCTGGAGTCCTTGCTTCACTTCGTCGTGAATGCCTGGCTCTCAGCTCGAACCCTCCTGAGCAACCTCCCTCCTTCCTTCATGACCTGGAACATGGCTTGCGGACTGAGAGACGGTGCTCGGGGTGTTGGGGATGAACGGTAACTCGTTCTCCCTCAAAAATATTGCCGTTTGTTGGATTCCTCTCGCAGTGCCGAAAAGCTTGCTTGGCGACCCATTCACATGCGTGCACCTACTCTTGAACACTTTGCTGTGCTTCGAGGTGTTGTTGGATGAGCGTCATGCCATGGTAATTGCTGCTTCATTGGAACCAATGCTACTACCTGGTCTGCTCACCAATCAAAGTCATGAACTTCGAGTTAGCCACAGCGAGAATGTCGCGCTTCAGCTACAATTCTCGCACCGGCGCTCTACCCATGCTGCTTGCAGTATGTCGGACTGCGTACTAATCTGATTTGCGACAGTTCCGTCCCCACCTCCAACCAGGTTCTGGTTCCGGAGACCCTCCTCAAGAAGCGCAAGTCTCAGGAGAAGGCTCGCGCTGAGCGCAACTCGGCCACCGAGAAGCGCAAGGCTGTAAGTATACCTCTGCTCTCACTACCTACCCCTCCCCCGCCTTCATGATGCATAACATACCTTTCACAACTAGACTACGGTCGATGCAGTTGGAATTAACCTTCTTTCGGGTCTGACACTTGCCGGATCATTCACATCTTCAACGCATATTTGGCCCAAGAAAACATCGCTAACATGTTACCTAAAGGCCAACAAGGAGAAGCGTGGTGTCATCTTCAAGCGTGCTGAGAAGTACGTCAAGGAGTACCGCGACGCAGAGCGCGAGAAGGTCCGCCTCTCCCGCGTTGCCCGCGAGAACGACTCCGCCTACGTTCCCGCCGAGGCCAACCTGATCTTCCTTATCCGCATCAAGGGTATCAACAAGATCGCCCCCAAGCCTCGCAAGATCCTCCAGCTTCTCCGTCTCCTCCAGATCAACAACGGAGTCTTCATTAAGATCACCAAGGCGACCACCGAGATGATCAAGATCATCGAGCCGTGGGTTGCCTACGGTTACCCCAACCTCAAGTCCGTCAAGGAGCTCGTCTACAAGCGCGGTTACGGAAAGGTCAACAAGCAGCGTGTTGCCCTCACCGACAACTCCATCATCGAGGAGAACCTCGGCAAGTACGGTATCGTCTGCATGGAGGATCTCATCCACGAGATCTACACCGTCGGCCCCAACTTCAAGCAGGCCTCCAACTTCCTCTGGCCCTTCAAGCTCTCCAACCCCACTGGTGGCTTCCGCCCCCGCAAGTTCAAGCACTTCATCGAGGGTGGTGACCTTGGCAACCGCGAGGAGAAGATCAACGCTCTCATCCGCCAGATGAACTAAATTGGTCGTTTGTACGGCTTTATGATCAACAAAATTGGGGATTTGGCAGGGTTCGTCTAGTTACTAGGGACTTCGGCAGGTTTGAGAATACCAAGGGTTTATTACATGATTGGCACGGTTGCACGGCGTTGATAACCACAAAAGGGAATTTGTGAATTGATCATTTGACGACCACTGGATTCTCCATCCTCCTTGTTCAATGGGTAGCAATGCAAGCCTCTTCAGAGAGTTGTATGTGTAATGTGCATGTGTGACTGTCGCGATGTATCATGGCATTCAATGTCTTAATCCAAGAGGAGTGTTTGTACGCATTACATTAATATTGTACAAGTGGATGCTGAGATCCCACTGTGCTCATCCCTTGCTGAGCCAGGCTGAGTCATACTCAGATCTTGATGTCGAAGCTAGTCCCACATCCACAGCTGCTTGACGCATACGGGTTGTCCGTGATCTTGAACTGGGACCCAATAAGCTCCATCGTAAAGTCCACCTTGCTTCCCTTCAGCAAATCCAACGACGGCTCGTCAATCACCACCTTTGGTCCCTCAAACGTTACGCTGGTGGGGTCAGCATCTTCTGGTAGATATTGGAACACGGTATCGTCCTCCCCAACGACCTTGGACCAATCCTCTGCGCTCTCGCCCTCGGGTAGGGTAACTAGGCTCATGAGATACTGGAAGCCATGACAGCCTCCGCTCTCGACTTGTATCCTCAGGGCTAGGTTCGGGTTGTTGTCCTTCTTCATGATAGTTGCTAGACGCTATAAACGCAGAGAACCTGTTAGGTTTCGGAAACTCCTTTGTTCGATGCTCGGATACACGTAAGTTACACGTACCTTGCCTGCTCTATCTGTGATATCGAGCTTCATCTCTTGCCCTTCCTCATCTGTCTTCGGGTTCCAGGCGCATCTCGTCTGCCTCCTCGTCGCGGAGGCCGTGAAGGCTCGGGTCTGCTGTCGCACCGTCCTCCCAGCAAAGCGCTGCGGCATCATCCTCCTAGAAACACCCTGGGTGCAGCATTGTCGGGTTGTGCCGAAGCCGGCCTTGCTGGTGGCAGTAGTAGTTGTGGTGGTGGCGGGTTTCCATCTCGGAACAAGTACCGAGAGGATCGGTGCCGGGGAGTTTGACGTTGATGTTGTACGGCGCGCAAGCTGCACGAAGATATTTGCGCTCGAGGGGCTATGAATGCACCGGAGAGAGACCATTTTGGGCTGCCTTGTAGCGATTCTGAAGTCGACACAGCGGGTATTCGTTGAACGGGCGGCGGCAGTAGGAGAAAATTGAAGATGCTAATGTTCGGTAATAAGGTAGCTTATGATGTAAAAGGTGGTGGGCGGTAGGTGGCGGCAGTTGATTGTTTGCTGCATTAGTCAGCCCGGGGGAGCTTGATGGTTTTTGTCCAATGGTAGTAGACGGATTTCAACTCCATGACCATGATCTTCAATGACACTTCATTTTTGCTTTCCTGTCGAATGAATTGTATGTCGTTGCAGTAGATTTTTTCACTATGCGTTAATCAGAAGGATTTCTTGCCTGTCAGCTGTCTTTGTAGATGAACCTATCGTTGTGGCGTTCAATCTCGGTTCGGTCATCGCTGTTGTCGGAGCCGGCCCCTCGGGCTGTGGAGACCATCGGAGGCTGCAGCTGTAATCGCCGAGGTTTCGGGACGGCCCCGGGACTTTGAGATTGGAACTCAAGAAGCAAGTCTCTTACGTTTGACAGATCCCAAGTTCTTGTGAAAGGAGTTGGTGGTTTCGCTCAAAACATCCTGCAATGTGCACCTTTGAATGGTCGTATGACCCGATGCTGAATGAACTTGACGTGATAGGTTTGCCTTACGTTACGTACTTACGATAATACCCTATATTGATGGGCTTCAATTTGTGTCACTCCTCAAAGTACGCGATACTTGCCCCAACCACATTCCTACTTATGTGGCAGGTTATTTCATCCATTGGCGGAATCGATATTTCGTAGCGAACCCTAGATAGGTAGGTGATAAGATGGTCGCTAGACACTACCTACTTTATACACCCAGCGTTGCATGCCAGCTTCGATCAAAGCTTGCATGTCTCTGCTTCTTGCTATCGGACTTGCCCGTCAAAAGAAGCTACGGAACATTCTTCTGGGGGATCCGGATGATTTTGGATAAGACGCACTACGATTGAAGCAGGCCAATTACACTCTGAATTGGGTAGTCGAGATATCAATGATACAAAACTATGGCAAGAGGCACCAATGCTCCTGAACCAGTCTGGTATCACAATTCTCATTTCCATAACTCCTGTCAGGACCGAACTTTCTGCTCTGCTCCTTCTTACTACATGTATCTGCGCATGGCTTCTGATTACGGATTGCACCTGCTGGTATGATTTATCCAAACCACGGAGAAGGTACCCCTGACTACTTCTGTGCATCTGAGAACTATGGACGATGCAGCGTCCAAATGATTCTTCAACTTCAACCACACGACCATCCCTAAGACCTTTTCTCAAGAATAACTTAGACTCTACCTAAAGATACCTACTGATTACTTCCATTCTCAATGTCATTCGTCATTCATAAACTCGGCCTTGCCAACAATTTCAAGCCAACGCGGCACAGGGCGGCAAGGCCACATTTTGGCCGTGGCGGAATCCAAGTCCCAAATCCCGGAGTCACAGCAGATATGTCGAGCTTCAAGAAACACGCGAGAGAAGTCGCCGCCGGCCAGGATCTGCAAAGCGACCATACAGGTCCTCCTGAACAGGCACCAAACGTACCTCAGGCTACACCCCTAGAAGTCCTCTGTCTCGCCATCGCCATCTTTGTTCTTGCGTGTATCCTCGGTTTCATTGTCCTGATTGGCATCAAAACTAGGCGCTCGCGCGCACAACATGAGGCCAATAGCTTTCCGGAAAGTAATGGTCGGGAGAGATGGGATTTACACGACACAACACAGGTCTTTATCAACGGCGTCCAGCGACGGAGCGACTCGGTGGCGGGACAGGAGAGAAACGAGCTGCATCTCCTGGAGAGGGACGATACGGCCTCCCTTGCACCAAAGCACATCTTCAGACCTTAGAGAGACTCCGCTGATGAGTGTAACGGCGGGATCGGAAAGTTCGACGGCACATCGACGGGGCTTTCCAACGACATATACCGGGAATCGGAACAGCACTCCATGGCCGATATATAAGAGTCGGTGCGCTCGAATGATGAATGTTTGCCCGCACATTGTGGCCGTAGACCATCGAGGCACTTCGACGAGCAGGGTGTGAACGGGGGTTCAGGACCAACGCCCCATCCGTAGCAGCTGAGCGGTAGCACGCAAGCAAGATAGGACAGTCAAGAATGGACAGACAAATAAAAAGACTCTATTCCCTCGCTCGTCCCCGCCCTAACCTAGTATACCGGCTCCTCAGGGTGATCGCACAAGGGCCCGCCGGCTTCTGGCTCCCTAGCGAGCTTCACGTGCGTGTTGCGTAGTATGTTTGTACAGCTGTATTCCGATCCGGATCGCGTCGTCTATCGATTCGACAGTCGTGGCATCTTATGCCTGCTTCCTGATCTCTCTGGCGGCCTGCTTCAGGCTGGAGTTGCATTCCTCGTATGCACGTCCGGCTCCGAAACCGACGCCGACGAAGGCGGGCCACGCTCTGCGCTTGAAAAGGAGGACTGAGAAGACGACGCCGAAGCCAAGACCGAGGGTAGACTTGACAAGGAGGTTGGACAGGCAGTGGTCCCACTAGAAGATGGTCAGGGATCTCGCTTTATCGAAGTTGGTAACGGCTTGGGGGAGCTACCTTCTCGTTGAGAAGTGCCTCACTGACGGGGCGCGCGACGGCGCTCGGGGGAGGGGGAACGGAGGTGTCTGACATGGTCGTCGATACCCTAGGGAGCTGGTCGTCAGCGTCAATGGATCAAACAGAGAGCTGGGGAGCGGTGCTTACACAATTGACTCGATGCGCAATGGTTTTGTCGAGGTCGGAGCTTCAGCTATGGATTGAACCAAGTGATGTTTTCGGAGAGAGCCGGCAAATTGATGATGAACACCCGAGGGCGGTAAGTTTCGGTGTGCGTCTCGGTGACCTCTTTAGCCTAGGTGGGGCGGCAGAATCCCGAAATTTTGGGAAAGCTCCAGCTAAAAATCGCGGGGAGTCGTTGCGACTTATACCTGAGCGCACTCAAAGGATCTGCACGTCTTTTGAAGTCCCTCGTGGTTGGTCGCCTATCATGGACGTAGAAATGACTGATGCAAGCCCAATCAGGTCTTCTGAGACCATTGTAAGTTCTCCAGCCGTTGACTTAACTCCATCCTTGTCTACTTACCGCTTTTGAAGACGTCGGACAGGGACTTGGTGAAGACAGTGCGGTCTCTCGACCAGACGGGCCCCGGAGCCAATGGCGAGAACCTCGACCGAGTTTGGAAGCAGCTCACATCTGCCAGCCAGGGACCCTTCTCTGCCGCTGAGGAGAGCGTCCTTCGATGGCTTCTCAAAGTCATGAAGGCGAACAATGACGAAGCCGATACGATCCGACGATTTCCCTTAACATGGCGCATTCTCGATTGCGCATTCCAAAGAATTCCTCTCTTTTCACTCGCAAAGTCCCTCGCCGACCGAAAATTCATGGCGGTTCTTCAACAAACTCTCAAAAGCATTGCGAGACCGAGCACCGAAGCCCAGGCCTCTGGTTCTACATCGAAGAAGAGGAAGAGGAACAATGCCGCAGTCTTCGAGCTGAAGGCGCTGCAGTCTTTCGAGGGCTGCCTAGGCACGGGGGAGGCCATCTTTGGCGCATTGAAGAACCTGCTTGAACGACTGGACGCGGCGGCACAATGGTCCGCCCACGACAGGATGGGAGCAGAACATATCAAGGCACTCTTCGCCCAGCCTGCGACCGAGGCGGTAGAGTTGCTCTCGCCTCTGCTGTCCCTTTGCGACTTCTCCCTGGAAGCGTCAGATACCGAGCCATTCGAGGCGCAAGAGTCATGGGTAAAGGTCTTCTCATCCGCCTGGGACCTACATCTTCAGGGGGGCACCGATGCGCTCGAAGTCGCGACACACCTCTCGCGCGCATCTTTCTCTATTCTGGGCAAGACCAAGAACCGGTCGAGCAACGATGATCAAGTGGCAAAGGTATGGACGCGCGACCTCGAGAAGTTCCTCCAACGCAACCTTGTTCTGCCGGCGAAGTCGGCCTACCTCAACAAAACCGATCTCGAGGTTGTCATTCGTTGTTTTGCCATGATACAGAACATTGCCTTGACCTCAGTTCCAATATTCTACAGCCTAGTGGCATCAGCCCCGAGAGTTGTTGGAGGACTCACAACAACAAAGGCTGAGGAGGCCTGGATGCAGGAAGTTTTCAAGATGTCTGAGCGTGCCATGAAGCAGTTGTCTGCTAGCGAAAAGTCGCATGCGATGGGAGGAATCCTCGACGAAGCAATCGCGAACAAGGCTCGCATCGCTCGGAGTGACCTTCTGTCAGTCTGCGAGTCTTACGCGCTTCCTGATGATCAGAGCGAGACTGGCTGGCGTCTCTTGTCGCTTGTTGCGAGATGTGACGCGGATGTCTTTTTGCAATCAGAAGAAGGCACACAACTCTTCGACCAAGTGTGCGACAGGATTACCGCAGTCGGCGCGGAGGCGGACGAGGGCATTATGCGCCAGCTGATTGAGTCGCTGATCACTGGCTTTGAAAATGCCCGCGATTTATCAACATTCCTGAAGACGTGGTTCAATCAACTCTCGAAGTTCGAAGACAAGAAGCTGCGCTCCGGAGACCGGCCTGTCTGGTTTACTAGAGTGCACCGCAACCCGACGCTAATTGGAGGCATTCAGAAGTCCTTGACCACCAAGCAGTTGGTCAATCTGCTGCAATGGGTTGAGGAACAGGGGGAACTCCGTCCGGCCGCAGTCTTCATTTTCCTCAACACCCTCGCATCTGCAGTCACCAAGGACGACTATGCCGATGCGATTGGAAGCAAGCTTGCCGACATTGCGTTGAATGTCGGTTCGGCCAGCAAAACACCGTCGGACATTCGCTCCCTGCGTTGGAGAATACTCTCCAAGACTGTTTCCTGGCTAGACTATGACCAGGCCACCGCTCTCTGGGACAAGGTCCAGACAGACCTCACAAAGGCATTACAAAAAGCTAAATTTGACGACGAAGATACGTGCGAGGCCCTGGAATGCGCATATAACTTCTGGCTATCAATGTATCCCGATGGCCGCGACCAGACTGTTCTTTCTTCCCTGCTTACAACCTTCGTCGAGAGACTCTTGAAGAAGGTCAAGGTGGAAGACCTCCAGAGTCTGTTCAATTCTCGAGATTTCGCAGTTTCAGATACCTCTGATGTTCCCAAGTTTTGCGCAGAGTTCCCCCTTGCAGCTTCGAGACTCGTGGCTCTTCTTGCGAAGTCTTCGGGCCGTCTGCCCGACTACTTACAACGCGCCTTGAGTGAGGAGACCTCCTCCAAGGGCAGCGAGGTGAAGCTGAGCAACGTGCTTCACGCGGTGGCATCAAACGAAAATAACCTTTGCAAAAGGAAGCTGACAGCCGACGTGGTGGATCACGCCATCGACATCATCAGCAAGGCCTCAGCAAAGTCTTCCCCTTGGGCTGAGCAGCGGAGCAGGGCCGCCATGATTGAATTGTCAAGAATTCCCGACGAATCTATCACGAGACAACAGAGGGAACGTCTCACGGAAATCTTGATTCCAAAAGTCCACGCGGCAGGCCAAGTGGATCCTTCGGACTGGCATCTGGTTTTGGGATTCTTGGTCAAGCTAATGTCAAGGCCAACTTTCTACCAAAACATGTCATTCGCCGACCTTCAAAAGATTGCCGACTCACTGTCAAAAGTCTGCGCGGAGAGCAACTCAAGGACGGCTCTCGGCCTGGCCCAGCTTGTGTCACAACTGGCGACATCAACTGTGCGACAAATGAACGATCACCAGGAATGGCGCACGCAGTACTTCGACAAGATCCCCGCTCTTCTGAAGGGCTTAGATGGCGGTGCCTCCTCCGTGCAAATGACTCTGTTGAAGGCACTGCTCTCTGTTGTGCTACCTGAAACTGGTTCTGATGACAAAGCTGTTGTCATCGACAGCGATCAAATAGCTTCGGCCTTGGGAAGTCTCATTCAAGACACCTTGAGTGACTTTTCCAAGGCCTCACGGAAGCAGAAGGTCAAGGGAGATATCGTCAACCGCGCCCTGATTGCCCTCGACGCAGCGGAAGCTTTGCCAAAGCCGGCCGTTGCGGGGCTCAAGATCAAGGTGTCTCAGTTGGAGGAGGTGAGCCAGCAGGCGATCACAAATGGATACTTCAGCGGCTGGAAGCTTCAGGCATTCCTCATCAAGTACTTCCCGTCAAAGGTGGCAGCTGCTCGGCCGACCTCCTTCGGCCAGCTCTTCAGCAGCACGCTGCCCACACCGCTACCGAGCGGCGCAGTGCCCGACCCCATTTCTGACTTCAACCGACAAGATACATTGGAAGACATTGTTGACGCCGCTGTCGCTGGTCTTGACTACAATGGTAAGGTTCAGTATGTACAGAGCCTTCTCGAAGGCGTTGAGGCAGATACCGCTCCGACAGCAGGTTCAACTTCCGAAGGCCAGCTCCTTGCCATCCGCCGTGTGGTCACTCAGATGACTGGTGAGTTTTCTTTCCTCCTCACATTTGATTAATGCTAACCGAAATCATAGAATCCCTTGTCGGTCTTGAAAAGTCAAAGACCTTTGACCTGGCCACAGCTCACGGCAAATTGATCAGGTACCTAGCCCAGGCCGGAACTGTGCGCGAATTCGTCAGAACCACCGAAGTCCTGCAGCAGCTGCTCGACGTTAAGTCGGACTCCATGACCCAGTGGAACATTGAGACGACATTCAGCACGGTGGCAGCAATAGTCTCCAATGACCAAGGCCACCTCCTCGACGCGTCGCCGAGCGTGTACCAATGGCTCTGTAAGCTGATGGAGGTCATCATCAAGAAGCACCGCCTCCGGCTCGAGGGACACTACCACATCCTCGTCACCACCCTCGAAACCCTGCTCGGCGCCCTCGCCCACTCCTCATC